TAGTATTACGCGTTTAAGAGGTAGATAAAGATTGGGGGTCTTAGTATTACGCGTTTAAGAGGTAGATAAAGATTGGGGGTCTTAGTAGTACGCGTTTAAGAGGTAGATAAAAACTAGGGGTCTTAGGATTAAAGTTTTCGGGTAGATAAAGATATCGAAGTCTTAGTTTTATACTTTTAGAGCTTATATAAAAACTGGGGATCTTATTAAATATTATAATTTTTGGATAGATAAAGACTTGCGGTCTCAGTTTTATGGTTTCAGGGAGTAAATAAAGAATGGGTTACGGCAACTTTTATGGGGTGCCTAGATTTTTTTCAATCAGTTACATATAGAACTAGAAATGTAATAACTAAACATACAATTAGGATTGGTATATATGTTAATAAAAATATATAAATATATATATTGTTGGCAGGAACCGGATTTCTTCAAGAAACATATTGTTGAACGAGATACTGACCTTGAACGAAAAGACTGTAATGATCCTTATACATTGTAAGTGAAGTTATTTAATTTATTTCAGAGTGCCAATAGCCTAATGGTTAAGGGTACGGATTTCCGATCATGAGGTCGGGGGTTCGAATCCCGATATTCGACTATTGGAAACCATAACACAAGATATGCTTAGTTGGAGACAAGAAATATTAGTGAATTAACAAATATCTGCTATCTGTTTAAAAAAAACATCATCAGCTCACTGTACTCCACTTAGGGTAGAATCTACCCTAAGTGAGAGTATGTGATAGTGAATGCTGGTCCAGTGCAAGACTTCACACATTTGACTTTCTTCATAGAGATATTTGTTTGAAAATTTCTAGAGACGATAGTTTAGTAATTTCGACTTATATTCTGAATTTTAAAATACGATTTATCGTATACTAGCTATCGCCCGCGATTACGTTCGCGTGAAATTAAAAATTTGGTAGTCTATGTGTTCTTCCAGACTATGTTCTATATGTATGACAAATTTCATCGAGATCCATACAGCAGTTCTGGAAATACCTTCTAACAAACATCTAAACATTCGCATTTATAATATTAGTAAGATGTATGTTTGTTAGAAGGTATCTCCAGAACGATTGCATAAATCTTGCTGAAATTTAACATAGATGTAGAACATAGTCTGGAAGAACACAGACTTCTAAGTTTTTTTTTAATTCCGCGCAGACGGAATCGCGGGCGATAGCTTGTTTAATATCAACGTGATCGTAGCGAAAATTGTGGAATATTAAATAATTTCAGCACAGACAGTGATTCAGATGACACAACGACGGATGAGAACTGTACAGCATATTTAACAAAGAAGAGACAAGAAAAAGAGAAGAAGACAAAAAAGAGAAAACAGGAAGATGGTAGTGGGGACGCGGATGTGAATAAAGATGTACCATCCTGCTCTAAATCTAGAAAAACAGATGAGACGAAAGATGGTGATAAAAAGAAAGACAAGAGTAAAAAGGACAGCGATTCAGAAGATAGTGCAGGAGCTGTCGAAAACGGAAGCTATGAAGGTTCAAAGGAACATAAAGTGAATGGTAAAAAGAAGAGTAAGAGAATAGAAGATAGAGATAAGAAAGAATCAGAAAATGAAGTTAACGATGGTGCTAGTACATCTTGGGAAAGATCTAGACATGTCAGAGGTTTTATATGTTTGAGAAGGAATAGAGATCCAGAGGAAGATGAGAATCCAATCCATAGAGCTTTATATGTCAATTTTAATACGCCTAATGTTGAACCTAGACCCAATTTTCCGTCTGTATTTTCAGATCAGATAACATTTTTAAATCCAACCGGTAGATTACAAACTGTCGCGTTAGTAACGGATACGTCTGTCAGACAGTTTGGTAGGGCTGATGGTGAAAACATTACGTATGTGAATTTCGGTCCTAACGGTCCTGTTAGGTTTGAAGGTGTATCACCAGCTAGACCAGCAAGATCTAATTTAAGATCATTGTCGATGGTTGGATATACAAATATAACTGATAGGAGTTTAGTACATTTGGCGACTGCAGCGCCTTTCTTGGAGTTTGTAGATTTTAGAGGTACGAGAGTGACGGCTGAAGGTGTTCAACAGTTTTTATTAGAGCGACCAGATTGTAAGGTATTGTATGGTAATATTGATGATTGAATAATCAGTACTCAGAGTGAGATAATCTGTACTAAATTTAAGTGATTATTTGATTTTTTAGTATGAAAACTCATTGAGCAATAATTGAGTGTGCTAATAAGTTTTTTTTTTTTAAATCGTGAATATGAATTTTATCTCAGTTACGTGATAAATGAACGTTAAATTGTGGATTGGATTATTTTTTAATATATCCATATTTATGAAGTCGAATTGTGAATTGATTGCTTTAGTATGTAAATGTAATGTTTCCAGAAATATGTACATTTTTTTTTATTTATCTATTGTCAAAAAAGTTTTGAATTGTATGAAAAAATATTTGGGTATTTTTTTTTAAATCCATTAAATCTTGTATTTATTAGTATCGAATCAAAGACTTTTCACTATAGACAAACCATTTTAATATTTCTGGGTAAAATACTTTGAACTTTTTTTATATAATATTAGTTACCTATATTTTACAATAACTAATTACCTTTTCACAATTTTTGATAAAAAAAAAACAAACGTCAAATTTCGTTACGGCCGCCATGTTTGACGTTTGACGTATTTATTTAATTCGATTGAAATGCCAATTGTAATTTATTATTTACGTAGTGTATTATATAATTAGCTCTCAAATTAAATTTTTACATAATAAAAACATATAGGCTTAAAGGAAGTTATCAAATCTTGTTAATTTAATTACAAGAAAAACAGACTGATTCACACTGAATCCCTTACAAGGTAACCTACACGTTTGAAAGTAATATTGTACTGTATCCTTGCTCCGTACACACAACAGTTTAACAGTGGTAGAGCCCGCTTTAACATCTTCGCACGAATTGGCCCAGCTCGTCCGGTGAAATACCACGACCACACAGAAGACAGCAAAGCAATGGAAGCAATTCCGCGTTTCGTCTGATGAATGTGCGTCCCATGCATCCTCTCATCCGGAAAGTCCACTTCCACTTCCCATCCTTTCCTTATAAGAAAAAGGGTGGGAAGGGAAATGGGACTAAATAAGGCCTCCGGGACGCACACTCATCAGACTGTACGCGGCATTGCTTTCACTTGACGCCTGTCTTCTGTGTGGTCGTGATATTTCACCGGGCGAGCCAATTCGTGCGAAGATGTTAAAGCGGGTTATACCACTGTTACATTTATAATCTTACTAATATTATAATATGTTTGGATGGATGTTTGTTTGAATATATCCCGGGAACGTTTCAACGGATCTCGTTGAAATTTCGCATATATGTAGAGAATGATCTGGAAGAACACATAGGCTACTTGTTTTTTTAATTCCGGGCGGACGGAGTAGAGGGCGACAACTAGTGTATTATAAGCGATTAAAATCTCCGGGTTTTGAAGATTTATGTTGCCTTGTGTTGGATACATAACTCGGTCACAATGAAATTGACATATGTATGTACAAATTCATACCGAAAATGTCTCAAAATGTTTAAAATGTGTACGTGTTCATATTGCGACAAAAGAATCTTGCCATATTAAACTAAGTTATGAAAAGAATGTTCCAGAAAACTCAAAAATTGTAATAAACTTACTAATATTATAAATGCGAATGTTTAGATGGATCGATGTTTGAATGTCCAGAACGTCTGAACGGATCTCAATGAAATTTTGCATACATGTAGAACATAGTCTGGAAGAACGCATAAGACTACTAATTATGTTTTACGGACAGAGTCGCGGGCGACTGCTAGTTTTTAAAAACTTCAACAAACTTCCTAGGCTTTTTTATACTAATAAAATTGTATTCAACAAAAAGAAATGAAAATGTCTATCCCTTTGATGGGACAAAGTTACGGAAATTAAAAATATGACATTCGAGAAATTTCTGGAATATTTTTTTTTACAGTTGGCAATCCTGTACCTTGTATTTTTCTTTAGGTTACTATTACTGTAATTTTTATTTAAAAGGCTGGTAAATATTTGTAAACTATAATATGTTTATATTAATTAAAATGTAGACATTTAATTCTAATATATTAAAATATTATTCATCACAAAGATCTTTCATTTACCTAGTTATATGGGAATTGTCGAACTTGAATAAGTGAAAATCCATCATCAGCTCACTACACGTCCCCACCGAGAGGCTCGGAGCCTACCCTAAGTTAAGAGTGATTGGGCCATAGTCAACCACGCTGGTCAAGTGCGGGTTGACTTCACACATATCTTTAAATTTCTCAGATATGTGCAGCATCACGATGTTTTCCTTCACCGTAACAACATAGGATAAATGTACATATGTAAATCAGAAATCGAAAAAAATATTGGTACACGGCGGGATTCGAACCCAGGACCTGCAGATTGCAAGAATCTTATTACAAGACCGATTTTAGATAGTTCACAGATATTCGTTGCGTGGTCCGACACTATGACAACCGTACATTAAGTACAACATTAATCCTCATACTAAATTAATTAGATATTTTATAGGCGTCAGATGTCAAACTAATCTATCCTAAATAGACACACTGTAGAAAGATATTCGTCGCAATATTTTTTTAATTTATCTTTAAAATTAAAAAAAAGAAATACCACGACCACACAGAAGACAGGCGTCAAGTGGAAGCAATTCCGCGTTTTGTCTGATGTGTGTGCGTCCCGGAGGCCTAATTTACTCCTCTTTCCCTTCCCATCCTTTTTCTTATTAGGAAAAGATGGGAAGTGGAAGTGGACTTTCCGGATGAGAGGATGCATGGAAAGGGAAATTATTTTTTCTTTCTGTGCATCCTCTCCTCCGTCGATTAAAGGTAGGCAACGCATATGCAATTGCGTATGTCTATGGGCAAAGGTTACTTCGCTGTTTCAACGATTTCAGGTGGCCGCTCGCTCGTTTGCCACGTTATGTTATTAAAAAAAAGGTTTCTACTCGATATATTTTAATTAATACCTTGTATAGATTAAAATAAATTGATAATTAGTACATAAAGAAAGCAAACTATAAAACTATATTAATTGATTCGTTAGTTTGTTGAATGTTAGGTTTTTTTATACAACTATTTGTGTACAGTTTTCGACCAGTTCAGATATGAAAGTCGTTTTATTTATTTTATTTTATTTATTTCATTATATAACATGTCCTTATACACCGGTAAGTAATCTTACTTATATACGAATGTTTAGATGTATGTTAGAAGATATCTCTAGAACGACTGCAATGGATCACGCGGGAATTTGTCATAGATGTAGAACATAGTCTGGAAGAACATATAGGCTATTTATTAAGTTTTTTTTAAATCCCACGCCACGAGCAACAGCTTGTAAATAATAAATATGTAAAGTTTTTAAAGATTTCCCCCATTTGCTGTCTTTTTTTTTAAAGATACGGATGATTATAGCAAATACCTTCTTTAAATTTTATCTATCTGTCCGCAAAGCGTTTGTTTCGGGTAAACGGAACGGGTGGACCGATTTTGACGTTTAACAGGAAGGTAGTTGTACGCGGCCATGTTATAATTAGTTTGAATTTTGCTTGGACGAAGTTACGGGCAACAGCTGATAAAAATCATGGGTTCACGAAGTCCTTGTGTTTTTAAAATGTGTCGTATTATTTAAGAAAGTGATGTATTAAGTTTTTGTACGCCTCCTGCAGTGAAACTCATAGGTTAGAAAATGTATGGGTAGATGGTTAGAAATTCTTTATTGTAGGGAGGTGAAGACGTCCAAGCGGGTAGTGTGCTCCTACCTGCTACACGGAGAGGTAGATACCTCGCTAATATTGTCAGGAGGCAAGCTGTGGTTAGTATCTTTGTCTATTCTATTTAAACTTTACACCATAAACAAACTACAATTTATACAAATTCGAATAATACCCAAATATTTCCTAAAACACTTTCTTATATTAGCTACATTTATTAATTTAGGTTATAAATAAAACAAAATAATTATAAAATTAAAATATCTTAATTGCCGCCATGTATTTTTGACGTTTCTTTGTCAGTACTTTGTTACGGCGGGAAAACAGTGCAAATTTTTGAAAGGATTTTTGTTAGAAGATATCTCCAAAATGGCTGTATGAATCTCGATGAAATTTGCCATAAATGTAGAAGTGTCAGTTATAGTCTGGAAGAACACATAGACTACTATTTTTTTTATTCCGCAAAAGATAATTATGATGAAAATCGTACAAGAACTTTACATATAAATGTGGAGGTAAAACAGTATAAGTAGGTCTAGATAAAACAAGCCGAAATAGATCGGTCTAGATCATTTACTTATCTGAATTTTATTTTTTTCTATTTACTCAAAGTTAAATTTTATTCCTAAAGGATGGCACCGGTATAAAATTCAACAAGGATGCAGATCGGGTAAGTACGAATAAAATCTAAAAATACAAGGAAACATTACCCCTCGACTTTATACCCCCATTGTATACCCCCACCGGCTCCGAAAATCACTGGGGGTCAACGTGATCCACTTTGAAAATCCCTACTAAATAATAACCTAAAACAATTGCAATGAACCTGTCAAAATAAATGCGATTGAACCTCGCAAACCTCTATAATGGACTGGCTATAAGACGTACTATTTTGTGCTTATTTGATTATGACCATATTAACACTGATGGCATAAGTTTGTATCGGTGGTATGTATTCATACTAATAGAACTGTCACGTAACAATAGCGAAGCTAAACAATGTATTTCATATTTTATAGCTAATAGAATACACAAAATGTGTCAAAATGTATAGGAAAAATACGTGACATGCAATTAACATATACTTATGGTCACTTCTATATATTTTTGACTTTCGAATTGCTACATCGCTTATCGTATTTTACGCTTATCTTGAAGTGTGTTATTAGAACGTAACAAAAGCTGTCATTTCCAAGCCATCGCCTATCCATTTATAATAATCCTCGGAGCAAAGTGCATTTGCTCCGCAGTGAATCCATAACTTTCAAAAATGTACGAAACTGACGCGTGACAATCACGTGACATATATCCAAAGTTATTGTCAGTTTTATAAATATTTGAAGTTATGGAATCGCGTCGTAGTGATTGCACTTTGTCTAACCCCATACTGAATTGGTGATTAAGGTTTTTTTAATATGATACGGCGGCAAACGAGCGAGCGGCCACCTGAAATCGATGAAATAGCGAAGTTACCGTTGCCCATATTCATATGCAATTGCATATGCGTTGCCTACCTTTAATCGACGGAGGAGAGGATGCACCGAAAGAAAATATCTTCCCTTTCCATGCATCCTCTCATCCGGAA